TCTCACCCTGTCATCCCTTCCTTCTGCTGCAATGGAAAAAAAAAGTCAGAAAACCCAATTTTTGTAGCTATATGTCTTTGGGCTATGCTTACCTTCCCTTTATTACAAGATTTGGGGCTTGCTTTTTGGGGTTATTCCCTTTTTTAACACATYGAGCCATAGCAAGGCTCATCTGGCTGAGGGTGAGGTGTGTTACAGCACAGAAAGGAGATCACCCGGTGGATCAGCTTGTTTTTAATTTCCCTAATGTCAGTGTGGGGTGAATGTGACGGCTGGAACGTGACACATTCCACTGAAATCGGGCTGCTCCCACCCAGCTCTGACTAAACAGATGGAGAGGAGCTTGTGAAGGAAGCACTGGGAAGGTGCCCCGGTCCTTGGGGTGGGCACAACCCCCAGCTCAGGGCAGAGCTCTGGGGGTCAGAGCCCAGCAGGTTCATTGAGCTGAACCCAAGAGGGAGATCTGCACCAGCCCCTTCATCCCACCCAGCCTGGGGGTAAGAAGGAGAATCCAGGAGAGGTCACTGAGTTTGGAGACATTGTACCTGCCACAGCAACCCATGCCATGACCCCACCGCTCCTCATGGTTTGGGGATGGACAGTAGGGACAGTCAGACCACTCTGACCCCAAATTCTGCTGTAAGAGATTATCTGGRAATGGATCTATGTGGAATAACCGTGTTTTATCAGTCTCTAAGCAATGAAAGGAGTCACAAAAGAGGCCATCTCTGCACTGAGAAAAACCCTGGAACTCCAGAAAAACACCACATCCACTCTCCATGCTCCCTATCCATGCCAGGACACAGGCATTGCTGGCAGGACACTCCAGAGAGAGAGGTGGCTTGCCTGGGTGAAAAGGGAAGAGCAAATGGGATGGTATGAGGAAATTTTAATAKAATTAGACAGGGAGGAAATGTTGCTCCTTATTATAATTTAAGTCCATGCACTTGCTTAATCAACTAAATGTATGGTGCACAGTATGCGGATGAAAAATGCACCCAAACTATTTTTATCCCAGTTAAAGGGACACGTTAGGGTTGTAAATTCTAAGTAGGAAATGCAAGAAACATTGGTTCCTGAGCACTCAGCTTTAAAAGTGCCTGAAACCAGGCTGTTTTCTTTGTTTTCTTGCTCCAAAGGCAGTTCCTTCTGCAGCTCAGAGACCAAACCTGAGGGACCAGCAAATGTGTCTCCAGATATATCAGACCATGGGGGTGCCCAGGGCAGGTCCCTTGCTCAGGCTGGCACAAAATACAGTGATCCCTCCTGAAATAAGATGGCAGGTAGGGACAAAAAAATCAATTTCAAGCATTCTAGCCCTTTCTGAGCACAGGATAGGTTACAGAAACCAAGATAAGAAGACTAGGAAATAAAATTATTCAGAGAAATAAAATCAAAAAATTTCAGAAGCCAAATTCCAAATGCTGTACAAAGAATTACCTTGAGATCTAAGTGCTGCTGCACCCCTCAAAAAGCCTGACCTGCTCTTTAGGCACAGCTCAGCTTTTCAAGTTTCAGCTCAGCCTTGAACAGAATGAAGCCATGTGCTTCATCCTTAAGGATCTGTCAGAAAAAAAAAATGGTGGAGAGGGATAGAAAAGAAGGATGCTGAGAGAAATACTGAGAGAAGGTGAGAGATAGGGGAGGCTCAGACCTCTGGGAGTCAGGATCCACCTCCAGCCATGCTCAAAAATGGGGCCCACCAGGCTCAGCTGCCCATGGGATTGTGCAAAATAGGTATTATAAATCATATATATCCTCCACACAGCTCCCAAGAGCAGGTCACCCAGTTGTGTCAGTGTAGGAAGAGCTATTAAGCACAAAAATGAATCATAACACAGAAATATAAAACTGTGCTTTTGCTCACAGAGGTAACGGCGCTTTTGGAGAGGCAACATCTGAGATGAGACCGGGGCTGGGGGAGTGAGAGATTCCCTGGTTTGAATTTCCCTGATTTCTTATGCATGAAATGGTGCGAAAGGGAATGAGCGACAGCAGGAAGAGGTGGGGAATGAAATCAGATGGATTGGATCTAGGATGCAGCTCTGGAAATAAATGCAACCTGCACAGGCATCTCGAGGCAGAGCATCAGCAGCAGAAGCAGCCTGGGAGATGGGCCTCTGCAGGCAGGAATTTATCAGAGGGACTCTCCCATATTTATTAAAACATCTCTGTGCTGGGAGTCTCCATGGATTTTGTCTTGGCTTTGGGTGCAGGAGCTGCCTGAGCAGCCCCAGAGCCCCTCCACGCCTGGAAAGGCAGCGGGGTCTGTGAGCATCTCCAAACTCAGCCCTGCAGCATCACAAACTCACAYGGGAAATAAACCTTCATCCAGTAAAGCCCCTGTGAGCAGCAGGAGCAGGGAAATGGGGGTGCTGGCAGCAGAGGGGCTGACTGAGCCCAAACAGAAGCAGGACAGAGCACCCTCCCTCATCCACAGCCTCCCTCAGGACTCCSGTTCCTGCAGGATGAGGGGAAAGGTGTTTTAGTGCTCCAGGCTGTGGCACAGAATGGGGTTTGGGGCAGGAGGAGACAGAGTGACCCCAATAGCACAGGCAGGGCACTGCGCTGGCCATTGGGACGTGGGAATGGCTCCAGCTCTTCCACACAAACTTTGTGACCTTGAGACAGTCTTGTCATCCTCCCACACCTTTGAACAAGCTTTTTATCTGTTCTGTCTGCCTGCACCACTGACTCGGAGTTACAGAAACCATTCCAACACTCACAGCCCCGGCACGGGCCATGCCAGGCTCACCCGGGCAGCAAGRGGGGGTAACAGATGCAAGAGTTTATCCTGATAACTTTGAAGTTTCCCACATCCTCCAGCTCTTCGAGCTCTGTAACAGCAAATTGCCAAGGCTAAACCTATCGTGTGTACAGTACAGAAAATGAGTTCATAGACAAAAATACACTGTAAAACTTCTTCCCAATGCACTGTAAAACAGTAACCATATCACTGATGCTTCAGAGACATTGGTGCAATCACCAGTTCAGCCCCGAATTCAGCCTCCATTTCCCAGCAGGTGCATGGGTGGGGGCAGAGGCTGTTTCTGCATGGCTCCCTGCGGTGTCACAGCAGACACAAGTGGAGTCACAAGCCCAGAAGGAATGCAGCTGCTCGGGTTGGGGTGGGGGGGATGCAGCTCCGTGGTGAGAGCCAARGGGCACCAGGAACAGCCTGGCACTGGGAACGGGGCAGTTTGGGGTCACCCTGCTCCTGCCCTGGAGCATTCCCRGCTGCCCAAGCCAATGCCACCGCAGAGAACCAAACAGGTCAGAAGTTAAGACAGAGCAGCTGAAGAAGCCAAAGGTGTTTGTAAAGCCCTCCCAGTCAGGGCTGTTTGTCATTTGGGTTTCAGCCCTTCMGTCTCTGTCACTGTCACCCCAGTGTCCCCCAGATGGGTCTCACCCGTATTTAACAGCACACAGGGCAGGTGGCACACACCATCCCCTCCCTCAGCACGCTCACAGGTGATGAACCAGCGCACAGCGGGAGCACTTGGCCCTTCCACATGGTTCTGGAAGATTTTGTGACACAAAACACCCCACAACTCCAGAGGATGGGTGGGAGCATGAAGGGTGCTCAGGATGCCCAGCACTGGAGCTCCACAGATGCTCTCTCTTCTCCTCTCTGATTTCCCCAGGGAATGAGGGTTCCTGAGGACCCCAACTCGCTGCAGTGCATGGCAAAGCTCCCCCTTCCACCCAGCCAGGCTCTCCCCTCTCTGACTGGACCCACCAACACCTCCAAGGAAGGCCTCAATGTACAAAATGGCTGAGGAACAGAAAGCACATCCCAACTCCTTATCTTACAGCGGCGTAACGGCAAAAGGATGGAGAGGGGGAGAAAAACCAGAAAAGGCCCCAAAAATCCCTTTGCCGCGACTGACAGAGGCCCTGGCAATGAGGAAAAACACAAAAATGAAACAAAAAACCCTTTGGCACCAAGGGTAGAAGCACCTCAGCCTGAGCCCAGGCCTGCGGAAGAGCCCGGTGGGACTGTGGAAAGTCCCAGAGGGAAGGGAGTTGCAGTGACACCGAGATTTATCTTGACCCTCCCTTTGCAATCCTGGGAACAACGGGAAGTCATCTGCTCTCCTATGCAGCAACGCTTCCGAGATGGGAATCCTTCTGCCAAACGCGGGTCAGCTGGGCCATTTCTGCCCAAAATCCCGRTACCGGGGGGCAGATGTGCACCCGGGGATGCTCCTTTGTTTACCGCTCCGCTGTACAGGCAGGGAGCCCCAGACACTGATTAGCATTTCTTTCTAGACACATCTCCCATTCAGACGCTTCCCACGGGGGATGAGAAATACCTCCAGAACCCTGAGMGGAGCCCCAAAACCAACCCCGGCCCCAAACGGACTGCAGGCACCCAGCAGGCAAAGATGGGGCCGGGGAGGGAAGGATGCTGGGGGTGTGGGGGGGAGGAGAGACGGTGCCTGAGCAGAGCTTTTTGTTCCTCTGCTCACAGCATTGCTATGGTGATTTCAAGCAAGACGGAGGAACAGTCGCTACCCGTCACTCCCGCTGCTCCAGCCCCCTGCACCGACCGCATGAGCAGCCCCTTCCCCCGCAAGCGGGAGCGGGCAGGGGGAGACAGGGGCTCGGTGCATCGCGCCTCTCCTGGGAGCCACCCCCCGGCTCTGCAGGGGCAGCTGCGTCCCCCGCCCCCTTCCCCGGATGGCCATCACCGCCCCGTCCCCGGGCACCGCCTGGGCTGGGGCGAGGGATGCGGGATGCGGGATGCAGCGGCGGCCCGGCCGGCCGGCCCGACTGCTCTCGGAGAGGATGGAGGGGAGCGGCTCAGCCTCCGCCCCCCGCAGCATCCCCCGGGGCTCCCCAACCAGCCCTGGCACCCGGCATCCCTTCCCCGCGCCGCTCTGCAGCTGGAGCATCCTTCCTCTCCGGTGTATTCGTGGGGCTGAGGGGGCGGAGGAGGGCGCACCGAACCGGGGGGGTCTCTGCCGTCAGGTTTGCCCCCCACCCTTTTTACTCACACGTATGCGTGGTAAATGAAAGCCCATCCCCGCGGTCTCTCCAGYACATTGTAGAGGAAATTCTGCAGCTTGCGGTAAAAAGCATTCCTTTTGGGGGGCTTCCCGCTGCCCGACACCCCGGAGCGGGGCTTGCTGAGGATGCTGCCCCGCTTGGAGCTCTCGGAACCGGCGATGAGGAGCGCTCCGTCCCGGCTGGAGTCCGGGGCGCCCGGGTCCAACCCCACGAAGCCCACCTTGAGCTTCTTCTCGGCGGCGGGCCCCGGGTAGACGCCTCCGTTGCGGGATTTCTGCACCATGGTGGCGGCGGGGGGCGGCGGGCCGGGGGCGGCGGGGGCTCCGCCCGCGCTCCCCGCCGCTGCTCCGCGCCCGGCGCAGCCGAAGCCGCAGGAGCCGCTGCAATCGGCACCGCCAGCGCCGCCCCGCCGCCGCCCGCCCCCTTAACCCTTGCTGTGCCCCGCCGGCAGCAGCCTCTCGCGGTCCCCCCACTCCCAAAAATACGGGTTTGCCATTCCTCACCGCTTAAAATTAAAAAAATAAGCGACTCCAGCCGCGCGCCTCAAGAACTCAAGGGTCGGGCATTGTTCGCCTGAATGTAGGTCCCTCCTAAAGCAGGAGCTGAAATCCCACTCTCAAATCACGAAATTACATTTCCCCCTRCACCCAGCACAGTATCTGGTCCAAAATCCAGGCTCTGGCACCCCCCTTCAAAATGACCGGGGAGGGGGCTCCTCCTGCCCCCCGGAGGGGCTGGGCAGTGCCCGGCCATGGAGTGCCCATCCCCACCTCCCACTGGACATCACCGCAGCTCCACTGGACAATCCACACTACATCTCCTGTGTCCACTCGGCCACCAGACATCCTCACCTCTTCACAAATCCCCGTGTGCAAAGTCATTCCCTTTCTCCACGTTTCCCTCAGGCCCAGCCCTGTCATCCTGGCAGCCCAAATTCAGCCTCCTTCACGCTCTGAAACCCCACCATGGTGTGGTCACCAAGCTGTTTGGAGGCCGAGCTCCCAGAATGTCCATCTCCAGATGTGCTGACCATCTCCAGATGTGCTGACCCAAACCTGCCCTTAACACCCCACTGCTTACGGTCCAGCAGCATTTTCCCCCATACACCACAGCTGGATTCTGCCCCAAGGAATATTTATTTCCTCCTGACACACCTTCACAGCACTCAGGAGAAGACAGGTAGACTGCAGAAGATAGGACAGAGGTTCCTGCCCCACATAATTATCCTCCATGGAAAGTGTTGCAGTACATGGGAAGACCTGCAATCCAAAAAAATCAATTCCAAGATCATCAACCTCTCCCCAGTCACTTTTCCGTCCCTTGCAATCCAACAAATGACTGGTGATCTGTGAACTGCACACCTCTACATGCTTTCTGTAAGGAAAATGAGGCTTTAGGAAAAAGCTTTTTGTATGTAAATTAAATTGAAAGCTCAGATAAGCTTTCATCACAAATACCTGGACACAATGTTCATAGGGAAGCAGCAAAATTGTGGCCCCGAGTTTTATGGCTGCAGAAACCACCCAGGGCTGTGTTTCATTGGAAAACCAGCCCTGCCACTCTGTATTGTTGCCAGCTTTTCCTGAAATTCATATTTAAATGGGAAAATCATCATAACTTCTCAAGTGCACTTGTCAAGTCCTGGCTTTTTGGCCCTCTCCTAATTCCTCAGGAGGATCCCAGTGAGAACTAATGGATAAGAGGAGCACTGAGATWAAAGTTGCTGCCTCTCAGTCCCCAAACCCTGCCATGAAGAGCGAGCATGGAGCAGCCCTACATTTTTTATGAACAGAACGTTTCCTGTGACCCATATTCTCTCCAACACATGGCTGAAAGAGAAGCCATCTCTGCAAGGCAGGCAGAAAACTAAAGCTGGGTTAAATACTGGAAAAACAGATCTGCAAGTATGTCAGCGAATAAATTACTCAATTCAATGAGGGGCCATTCTATTCATTATTTGTGAACACTTGTAAGATCATTAGTGTTCTTTAATAGGGTGGCCAATTACAAATGTGCCTGGCACTAATGTACAAAGTGCATTATTATAGATCCAGTGACGCAGTCCCAAAGCAGGAAATATCCCCCTCCGCAAAAAGGCCAACAACAAACAAAGGAAGCAATTTTCAATTAACAAATTCAAGATTACAAATAGTCTGTGAGCCCTGAAGAAGAATCTAAATTCAAGGCATTCCTCTTTGCCTAATTAGTTGGTCATTCGCAGTGTCACRCTGCAGCACAGCCTTGGGCATCCTGCATCTCTGAGACAGAAATTGGGAATGGGAAAGGTGAGAGTGGGATTTCACCCCTTCCAAGGCATGGATGGGCTGAGGAAAGGCACTGTGTGGTTGTAGGGGCTGTCAGGGTTTGTAGATTCACTTGGGAGGGAGGCAAAACCTCAAAGACAAGGAGGACCTTGAGAGAAAATGGCATCAGGGATTCCCTCCTTTTGTGAACAGAGCAGTCCTTGGGAGGTGGAAAAGGCCTGAAATTGTGGATGAAGGTGGGCTCTAGCCTTGCCCCTTCTTTCATGTCACCTTGGACTCTTAGGGCATCTGTGACTCCTTTTTTATAATGTTCCATGGGTTGGCACTGCCAGTTGGAGTTGAGTGCTCAGAAGCACGTGGCTTTCCAGTCCCCACACCCACATGGCACTGGCAGGAGCTGTCCCTTGAGTCAGTCCCCAGTCCCCAATGCCCAGTGCCTGGCCAGTTGCAGCCCTGAGAGGAGCAGCAGCCTCTGGGAACAAGGGGAACACAAACACTTACCCAGCTGTGATATCCTGCACGGAGCCCRCAGCAGGTAATTTGGGAGATGAAGTCACTTGTGTGCCACTTCTGCTGGGTGGCAGAAGACAAGACACAGCCATTAACACTGGGAATTAATGAGGTATATAAAAGCAGCAGTGGGAAGGTGCTTTTATCTGATCCAAGGACATTAYGTCTCCACAAACAAACAGAATTACTGAGTCAGTCCTTTGCTTTCAACACTGGTGATGACTTTAAAACACGAACACCATGGCAGATAGCTCAGACCCTGGAGGTAGGATGGAGCCATCAATCCATGTTAAGATACAGAAAGTCCATGCTCTGTCCCCTGGCAGTTTTTGAGATGTAGTAAGAAATGACTGGTGTGAAACACGCAGAGTGGCTCCAGGGATAAATTTTTGCCTGAAACACTGAACGAGAGCCCTTTGCCCATCCCCACCCAGCTGGTGGTTTGTGTGAACTGTGCTACCCAGAGCCTGGGTTTTGTCACTCACAGCTTTCTCCCAGAGCTATTTTCAAACCCTAAAGCAGATGGCTTTACCTCCCCTTGTACAGGATGCTGCAACATCCCAGCAACACTAACCTGCCAAGGGAAAAGACATGAACAGCTTGGTCTTTCTGCACCCAGTGTCCACCCAGCTCTCTCTGCTTCAGCTCCCCCTCCCCTCCCACCACCCCATCCTCTTCTCTGAGCAGAAAACAGCCCCCAAGAGTCCCTGTCTATTGATCATTCATGTCTCTTCCCTGCTTGGCTCTTCCCAACACATTTTGACTGTGAAATCAGTGGCCCTGACCCAAGAGAGGTTGGTTCATACAAGGACCTCAACCTGGAAGGGGACACTTCTCCAGCATAAGGTGGAGCCCTCAGGGGAAAAAGCTGTGGGAAAGATAATTCCTGTGCACAAATGGACAGATCTACAGGWTTCCAAAGGAGAAAGGTGAGTGTGACATTCCTGGCTCAAATAGAAGGTGATGCTCAGCCAAAGTTTCCACATTTGGGATGGGGAGATGTGGGCACGGCTGTAGAGGATTTGCAGGTGGACATTGGTGCAGAAGAACCACCTCAAGTGAAAGAGGGTTCCAGCTGGGCAAAGAGAAAAGGCTGTTCTTGGCAATCAGTCACAGCCACAGTATCAGGCACTAACTTTTTTAACTTTGTTTTTTTTACCACCTGAAATGAAGATGYGCCAGATGGTTTTCCAGTTCCGATCAAACCTGACAGTCATCAGTTTCAATGCTAATTAAGTTTCTATCAATTTTCATCAAAACTAGAAGGCCTGTTAGACAGACGCTCTGCAGTGGCTCTCTTCCTTCCCCCTCCAAAGGGATTTTAAAGTGTATTCTCATCTTTACCAGGCACAGGAAAAGATGCCCGTGAGGACGCCTCCCCTCCCAGTCACTAAAAAATCTTCAATCAGAATTTGCAAGCAACATGCTGATAAGAAGCCAGGATCCCTTCATCCTGCTGCTGACAGAGCTGCTTATTTTATATTACATATTTATTGGATGCAAAATTTCTGTGCCACCATCCATCTTCCTGCCCTGTTCTTAGACAGCGCCGACCTCATTGGAGGCTGCTCCAGAAAAACCCAGGACAAATCCTGCTGTGTGAAATCAGCTTGAGCTGCAGCTGGAAAAGTCTGGCTGCATGAACAGAAATCTCCCCAAGTTACTCTGAACTGACCTGGGGGACACACACGCTCCATTCTTAACTAGAATTTCATATTCCACYTTTCTAAGGGTGATTAAAATTGCTAAATATTAATTTGTGCTGTGGAGGCCTGGCTGTGAGGAAAAGCAGTTTCTGGAAAGAGCAGCTACTTGACTGGGCATGTGTAAGGAGAAGCAAGTGGAAAAAAAGCAAAGTTAAGGTGAATTCTCTCAGAACACCCACAAAACTGAAAGTAAGTGACAGAAAGGCCAGCACCCACCCCATTTCCCCATCACCTTTAGACTGCTCTGCTTGTGCCCTCTCAGCCCCCACAGACCTTTCCCCTGGCAGATCCCCACTGGCCACGTCTCCTTCCCCATCTCTGCTCTCCAAGATTCTGTCATTACCCTCCAGCTCCGTCTCCTGCCCTCACCTCCTCTGGGACCACGTGTAATAATTCCCTTTCTTCATTTATCCTGTTACCTTGAAGGTATTTTTAGCCCATGACCACAGTTGCCCCCGAACCTTCCTTTTCCCAGACTCTGTAAATTTAGCTCTCTTAGTCATCCCTCACGTCTCCCAGTGCTCACATCCTCCCTCCTGACCTCCTTGGGGTTTTTGGCTGCTCCTGCACCCGCAAGGGCCAAAGCCACACCGTCAAATTGCCATCACCTCAGTGCTCTTAGACCTCATCCYRCAGGACAAGGSWGCTCCAAAACCTCCTCMCAYACCCTGAGGGCCACCCCAARCTCTTTAGGGGTGACCACTCAGAGATGGAGACAATTTCCCACTAACAGCCCTTTCCCAGTGTCTCCAAATCTCCACACTGTAAAACTTAGAGCAAGAAAAACTGAGCTTGGTCTCACC